AAAAAAAAAAAAAAAACTTAAATTTACTAATGGCAAAACATTCACATGAGTTCAAAACAGATGGTGAAAAAAATCTTTTTGTCATTTCATCAAACATGAAAAGGGCTATCGAAAAATGGGCATTTTAGAAGACAACCTCAAAGCATTTTAGAAATTTCTTGACATCAAATAAGTATAAGCTTAAAATTTTAGGCCCTCGGTACTTGGGCGACTACCAAAATCCCAGCGCAACAGAAGTTGTGAGACACCGAATTACCGATAATAGTTCATCTTCCCATGTTAGATGCTGAATTTGATGTATGTAAAATTGTCTTTTCATTAGAGAAACATATATATAACAACAAAAAATCACCCTTGCAATTTTAGCCTAATTACAAAAAACTCTACCATTTGTTTTATAAAAAGAAGATATCAATGTTTTTCAACAATTAGAAATAAACTATTGCATAATGTAGTATGAATTTAAGGGAAGTGAAATAAAAGGATACCTTTTCCCTATCTTGACATCATCATTGTACATACTCCCAATCACGATAAGGTTTTTCGTGGAGCTCATCATGTGATGCAGGCTGAGCCCGTCGGGCACCGAAAGGAGGGGACTGATGGTGCGTCTGAATATCGCCGTCTCGTGGTGCACTATAATAAGGAGGAGAATGAGGATCAGCCATCATGACGTCACATGATTTCTTTGTAAAGTTATACTCCGTGTCGTCTGATCCGCCAACACCGTGCATTCATTCGAACATAAATGCACGTCTCCTCATTGTTTAGGGCTGCTCATACACGTTTTCACCTTGTTGAGCTCGAACCTCAGCCTCTCGTCCCCGTCAGTTGATGCATCCGCTAGAGTGCGGAGTATATGGTGGGGAGTCAGAGCATTTCCTCTGACGTCAGCGACAGCTTAAAGCCGAGCCAAGTCAGGGCCATATAGGCTCTTAATGAAACACTGTATGTCCCCTCTCGATACCTAGGCTAGAAAAAAAATCAGGGAAAATGAAGACGACTGATAATCTGCAAAAATTAACTTCATTTTTATAGTCAATTAAAGATATTTAGAAAGGACAACAAAACATAAAATTAAAATTATTGTAGTAAAGCAATCTGCTTGAGAGAGCTTGGGAAGGTCAGTTTCAAAAAATTAAACACCCTCGTTAACAAACTTCACCATCAAATAAGATAAATTTAATACCAAAAAAAAAAAGCATTACCTTTAATACCAGAGCTCTTCGTACCAGATAAAGGGAAAGGCTACCGACCTCGCCTTCTCCGCCGGATAAATCCTTGAAATCCTGAAAGTCGGCCTAAAAATTATGCTGCAAAATCGAATCTAAACAAGAACATACAAAATTATACAGCGATTGGGAGGAAAAATTAGAAAACAAGAGAGAGAACAAACCTGCGTCGCGTTGATGTCCTTGCCGCTAGACGCCATCAGCCAAATACAGGTACAAAATCGACGAATTAAACTGGCGAGTAATTCCAAAAAAAAAGAGAGGGCTAAGGTTGGATAGGGATAAGGTTTGTGAACTGCCAAATTACCTGCTCCCTTCTCCATCCTTTTTTTTTCGAAACGATAGAGATATTATATATCAAAATGCACAACTGTGCAAAAAAGCAGCCCAAAGCTGAATAATACAACCCGGAACTAAAAACTGAGAGGACGGATCGAACTGTCCGCCTAGAACCTCGCTAGCCACGCTAGAACAAACACAAACACAAAACTAAAAAAAAAAAACAACGACACACCAACTAAGATCGCTCCCCATAGGAGAATAGATTTGCCCCCCAAAGGGGAATCAGCACCGGGGCCAACGACCCAAACCTAAAAAACAAGACCAAAAAACACAAACACAGACTCAAACACTGACTCAAACCAAACGACAGAGAAAGCAACAACACAGACAAAAACAAACTAACTACAACTACTAACGACCCTCCCCCGAAGACTGGCGAACTGAAGAAGCAGCAACATCCGACTCCCAGACAGGCCCCTGGCCAAAACCCAACCCCCGAAACTGCATAATGCCTATACAAGAGTCAGGTCTCCGCCCCCGAACCTTACCAAAGAGCCGGAACCCACCGACCGAGAGAGACGAGTACAGCAACCCAAACCGGAACAACCCAGACACAGCTAACACCACTAGCTAAGCCCAAGAAACCCGGATCCCTAGCTTCCAACAACCGAGAAAGAAAGGGATAGTCGCTCCATACCCGCATTCCAACCCCGGCAGCCACCACGCACAGCACGCGACGGCTACTGAAGCCCCATCCCGATCACCAAGCAACTCAGCCCCACAGAACCACCGTCGCTGCCCAACCGACACCCTTTCCCCTGAACC